TCAGTGACTCAGTTACATATTGTGTAAAATTCCAAGGAAAAAGAGGTAAAAAGCTTCCGAACATTTTAATATCTTCAAGTAAAAAGAACATATATTGGAATTATGCTACTGTTTTAATTTTCTCAACCCTTTGGTTTCTTTGAACATAGTAGACTCATAGAAAAGACATTTCCTTTGATCTTTGTCAAGATTACTGGATACCCTGATACCATTCCTACAATGAGCTTGTTAGACTCAGACGAACAGACCTATATTACGGATTCTACTGCAAATAATGCACTTAAAAACAATCCTTAAAACATCTCTTGTCAGTTGTGCCTTACTAACTTCCTACTGCACTTTTTATTTTTTCTGTTAAGAAAACTACACTATTAAAAGCAGAACATATACTAGTGTAGGACAAACTATTCCCCAAAATGCACTGAAGACATAATGCCTTGAACTTCACTTAATTAAGATTAATTTCTCCTTTTTAGATGTTGACATTCACTTTCAATTCTATAAAATATACAATTATAAACAATTTCACAAATCACAAAATGAAATCACTAATTTATACATAACAACTCTCAAGTGTTCTTGTTAATATATCAAGTCTTTTTAAAACATTTTGAGATGATCTAGAAAGATAAAATTTAGTACAAGCACTGTGTTTTTCCATGTACAATGCACACCCGTGTTTTTGACCCAAACTTTCAGAATAAAAATCTTTCGTTTAAATTTTTAATTCAATTATTTTTTTAGAATAAAAACTGTATTCCATTTATTGTATTCCATTATCACATTATTTGTATTTTGCATAGAGATATCATTATTGCTTTCTAGAGTTGCACTTTTAATGCATAAACATAAATAAAAGAATTAAAAACATTTATATAGATATGGAATTAGTACTACCTATGTACAATGCACATCCTTAATTTTTTCCTAAAAAATTTGGGTGAAAAGTGTGTATTATACATGGCAAAAAGTATATAGTTTTGTTTGTGGTCAAAATGAAAAACCCTGAAATACCCAATTTTCAGTTTTATGGGGATTCCCTCTGTTATGCCAGTTCTATGTCATTTTAGCTCCCAAAAGAGGGCCTACCTTAAAATGAAAGAATAAGAAATATAACCAATTGTCATTTAATTAGTCTCGGAATATGAGAAAGTTGACTTTAATAATCGGGTAACTACTCCTTTTAGTGGTTCCTGATTTTTTCCTTTAAAAAACACTGAGTAGTCATCTGATTGACTTTTAAAAGTAATTTACAGGATCACTATGTGATTTTGGCATATAACTTGGAAGAAGTTCAAGGAACTGAGTGACATCACTATAGCATTCCCTGCACAGATGCTGAATACCGAAACTCTGAGAGCAGTCATCTTAATATGAAAAATACATTAGAGACCAATGGTACATTTTACGAATTTTAAATAGTCAAGCACACCAAAAAAATAAAACGCTTTTGTTTTCTTAAAAGAGGTAGGTTTGCCAACTGTTTTACGAAGAATGAAGAACCTCTACTATCTGGGAAGGCATTCTCAAACAGAAAGTCTTTCTCCTGTGAAATAACCAATTAAGTAAAAATCTTGGGATTCAATCTTGGTGTTCAGGGTAAAGGCTCATGGAGAGGCATCTTTTAAAAAAATAACGTGGATTTTCAGAGCTAAGGAGGGAACTGACATTTAGCTTGATTGCGATAAATGCTAATAACATATAGATTAATTATTCTCAGGACCTTCTATAATGTGATCAAGGTCTTGGGAATAGGACCCAAGGAAAAGAAGGCCTATTAGTGACTATGATAACCAAGGCTAATGAATTTAAGGATGAGTGCCTTGGTGAATGAGAAGATTAGAGCTGACTTTTAGCTGTATTTTAAAGAAGAGACCTACAACCAAAGTTCTCAATAGTTGAAGACGAATTTGTCCTTCTTCAGGCCTAGGGCTCTGTAACATGGCTTTTAATAAGTCTTGACCCCACCCAGTTTAGGGTGGTAGTATTTGCTTCTATTAGAAGCATTGCTGACAATTAAAAACTCATCTCTCTGGTTCTGGACAACTCCTCCAAAACAGAACGGAAATGTCTTGTTTGGTTATAACACCATCATCATATGATCTTTTACAATGATTACATTGTAAAGGCTTTTTATAGCGATTTCACTGTATCTCTTAACAAATTTGGTTCTCACAAAAAGTAGGCAAGGCAGATCCCCAGAATGCATGATTTCATTTACATGAATTTCAAAGTAGGCATAATTAATCTACCATATTAGAAGCTGTAATGGTGGTTACCTTTGAGAAGAAGGAAAGAGACTGGAGTAAACATAAAGGGACCTTTTAGAGATGCTAATGCCTTGCAATTGTATGGGTGTGTTCACCACCTAAGGCACGAACCTGTGTCCTTCTGTGCATATCCTGTAACATGTTATACTTCAATAAAGTGTTCATTATTTTAAAAATGCCCTGGTTTTAATCACTGCATCATAATTGCCCATAAATAGTATTTAACAGACATGCATAGCTATAAGTGGCACTAAAAATACTGAAGGTATTATAACAAGAAAACTACTGATTGTGAATGCAAAAATTACTTGCTTTTTATTTCAACTACTTCCATTTATTTCATACCCATCTAAAACCTAAAGTGAGAAAGAAGAAAGGAAACAAAAATTATCACTCTATACTTAAGGATATCTTTATTGTGACCTACATTTCTCACCTCTGTAATTTCCCAAAATCTGATATTTTCTTATTTTCTACAGTTCTTCTCTACCTTCTTTCCTACCTCCTTTAATCCTCCAAGATCTTTTCCTAGGTAACGAGGTTATGAAACAAGGGCATACCGGGGAGCTTCCTAGGTCAGTCTAGGACAAATACAGCTCTTTCACGTGTCTTATTTTCTCTTCTTGTCCTCAAATTCCCTATTTTTTTCTGCAATCTTTTCTTCTCACATCTCTCTGTTTCTACCTCCATGTTTCTCCCTAATTATAACCCCAGAGTCTACCTGAAACACATATTAATAGTAAAAGGTAATGAACTAATATTTATTCTCATAAAATTATGCTCTATATAAACAGAATTTAACCTACAGTGTTATAGGTATGGCTGTGCAGATGAAAATATAGCCAGCAGTCTTTTCTATGACAAATACAAAGGAATTGATGTTTTTGCATAGTTTCTCCACACTTCAAAACTATGCACTGATTTTCAGACGAGATCGGGCGCGTTCAGGGTGGTATGGCCGTAGACATATGCACTGATTTTCAAATGTTTTTCCAGCGCCAAATAACTGAGGACATTACCACCTGTAACAGATTGTTAATTTCATGTGCTAATATGTCTGAGCATGGTGCCCAGATATGGTCAAATATTATTTGTTTCTATGAGATTAACATTTAAATCATTGAATTTTGAGTAAAGCTATAATGTGATGGGCCTCATCCAATCAGCTAAAGCCTTAACAGAACAGACTCATCTCCTCTGAGCAAGAAGGAATTCTGCCAGCAGACAGTCTTTGGACTCAAACTGCTATTCTTCTCTGGGCCTCCAGCCTACTGGCCTATCCTACAGGTTTTAGACTTACTAAGCCTCCATAGTCACATAAGCCAATTTCTTTCTTTCTTTTTTTAAGGAATGTACACCATTTTTTTTATTTATTCATTCATTGGTTGATTCTTTTTTAAAGATTTTATTTATTTTATTTTTATAGAGAAGGGAAGAGAGGGAGAGAAACATCAACGTGGGGTTGCCTCTCAAGCACCCCCCCACTGGGGACCTGGTCCACAAATCAGGCATGTGCCTTGACTGGGAATTGAACCAGCGACCCCTTGGTTCGCAGACCTGCACTCAATCCACTGAGCCACACTAGCCAGGGCACATAAGCCAATTTCTTAAAAGAACTCTCTCTCTCTCACTTTACACACACATCCTTTCAGTTTTGTTTCTCTGGAGAACCAAGACTACTTCAAGTAACTAAGGGACTGATTCTCAACTAGAAATGGGGGAGGGGGTCTACAGAAAGAACAGAGGTGTTGGGAATAATAATTTTTAAAAGGCCTGATATAGACCTTGTGAATACCTACTCAAAAGTCATTTACTAGTCTTCTTCTACTATAGAGGCTGAATGCCAAAATAAAATTTTCAGCTTGCCTTACAGCTAAGAGGTAGCCATGTGACAGAACTGTGGCCAAATATGTGAGAAGGGCCTCCTTTGCAAACAGAAAGCTAAGACTTCACTAGAAGAAAGCCCTGTGCTCTAACCATGCTTCCTGTCCAGCCCACTAAGGAGTCAGATGTCAAAACAGTGCCTAGAAGAGCTGATCTTCCGACTCTAACTGTGCCTGCCACTCCCCAGTGCCCATGCATGGTATCCTAAATAAGAGTGCAGTAGATCTGGCTCCTTAGGGAAATCTGTACTGACAGCTGAAAAACTTAACCCATGTCACATTAAGTGTTACTTTTAAAAACGTAGCTGTACTCAGGCTCCACTGAAACTACCTAAAGTCAAAATCTGCAATGGGCAGGACCTGGACTAGAAAAATTTTCTGAAAATAATGATCACAAATTATTGACAATAATAACTATGAATTACTAGGGAAGGCTACGGAATATCCTTTACAAAGGTCTTTGAAAATAGGCCCTGGATTATTTTATGGCATTCCACTGTAAAGACAGGAGTTAGTAGAGAGCAGCACTGTGACATCATTTCCATTCTATAATACACTATTGATTTAAAAATTTTACCTCAGTACACTTTCGATATTTGTCATAGTAGAGAACTAAAGAGTGTTATATAAAATCACTGTGTAATAAAACCTAACAAATAATTGAGAAGGAATTTACTGGCCAAGTTGTGGAAAAATGTAAATAAAATACCCAAATTACCTAACAATTTAGGTCAACACTATCATTCAAGGTTATTGATGAGATACCTCTAAAAATATGATTTTCTCTAGACCTATAAAAAGAAAAATCAAGTGCTATTAAATAATGATTTCAAAATTCCGTGTTTACCTTTTTTTTCTCCAGTGTAGGGCACATAGTCCTCCCGATCCTTATACTCCAAAGCTTCCTTCTCCAGATATGACAGAAGGTGCTCTCTATCAAATGGCCCCGTGGCAGGCTTTGAGGTCTGGTTCTTCTGCCGGAACCCTGCAGGCAGGAGGGCATTCTGCCAGAGAGAAGGAATGAACCATTACGACCACCAAGAACGCCAATGCTATATGCTTACACAGATTACTCAGATAAGAATTATGGATGAGAATGTGATGTAGGCATTAAAAACTTCATTACAGGATTTCAGAGCTGCAATGTGAAAGCATTCCAAAGTTGTTGTTTTTTTAAAATCAGGTAGTATTCACTTATATTACCACTGACGTAGGTATAAACACATTTTCTTTAGATAGTATACTTCTACTAGCAGAAACATCCTTTTACTTTTAAAATGTCTTGGGACAGTAATAAAAAATAGTTTTTAATGCTTAATAACATCTCAGCATATATGTATATACAGAAAATAATTCCATTACAAAAGAATGTTACATGACTATATATCTCACAGCCATTCATGACTTCTATTTCATTGTGAAGACTTTCTCAAAATAAAAACATGTACACCACAGAGCAGGGTACAGGAGATTAATGTTTATTTGCATTTAAACACAATGCGAAAGGTTGAACTTCTATGTCTATGTATGTGCATATATCTCACCACTAGGGTGTATCTGCAGCAACCACTGTCATTGCACCGAGGCAGCCGGAGATACTCACAGCAAGAGCTATGTCCCTGGGTTTCCACATGGATACAGCCCTCAGGCAAGGAGTGGCTAAGCATGGAGGAGGGTGAGGTGATGGATTAAAGTTGCCTCCTGTACTCCCTACTCTGAATCTTCACTAAGCCCAGGAATAAGTGGTGACCAGACGACATGAGCTCCATCCTTTTGCTTTGCTTGTCAAAAGCCAAAGAGGCGATCTTGCCTTGTCTCACTACTCCTGGGGTCTTCCTTTGCTTTGAAAATGGGAGGCAGCCAGAAGTCACACCAAAGAGGCAACCCTCTTTATCAGCACCTCTCAATATTTGCGAGGATGCTGTATCTTATGGCTGTTATAAAGGGTAACCTTATATGGATAATGGTAGTAACAAATATTTATAATGAGAAAATACAGCACTTCGACTTTGGCCATTTGCTGAGATCCATCATAATTTTCATAAAATTCATGTTTGTGTTCTCCTCATGTAATGGTTATGCATTACAAAGAAAGCTCACCTATAAAGATGAAACATAAAGGAAATCTATTCCTAACCTCACACCAGGTATGTTTTTGTAACACAAAATTGTTTATGGGAACATAAAAGAAAGGCGAGATTTCTACCCTCAGACTTTGAAATCAAGACAAGCTACACATGAAGAATCAATTTCCAATCAACCATCAAGTGCCATCCATTTTTACTTCCTTAAAAAATTCATGTGTCTTTAATTTTCTCCATTTCCAACACCATTACTTTGGCCTAAACCACAATCCAGGCTGGGAAGGAATATCACATTAGCTTCCTACTGGCTTCGCAGAATCAATTGCTGATACTCTTCATCCCTCCCTCCCACCCCACAAGATTATCTTGACACACCCTCTCTGATCTGACCACACTAGACCTTGTTCCCCCTCTACACTTGCCATATACTTCCTTACACCACGAGGTCGTCCCTAGAATGCCCTGTCCATCCTCATTTGCTACTCATTTTTCAGCATGCAGCTCCATTCCTCTCCCCGCCAGGAAGGTTTTCCTGACTTTCCATTATACGCTCTTTTATCAATATGGTATGATTATTTGATTAATGTCTAACTCCCCCCACTCCTACAGCTTGCCTCATGAGGGCGAAGACCACATCTGTTTTGTTCACTCATATCTCTAAGCTTCGAGCAGTAACTAAAATCTACAGGCTGCATCCCTCTCACCCAAATATTTATTGAATAAAGACTTGAGAATACTTTTAAGACAAATTAATAAAAGTTATTTCCCTTAGCCATCACAAGACATTCCTGTACATACTGCTATTTCATGGTAGAGATAGAGAGGTTTTATTCCACCCACCTGCTCAAGTCTACATGAAACATGCCAATTTTAAGTGATATGTTAGCTGGAATCCTGGCTCCTTAAATACAATCTCAGACCACAAAATAAATGACAGCTAACTGGCTTTCGAGGCTTTATTAGAAGTATACTTTAAGTTAATGGATAATTCCTTAAAAAGATAAAAGTATCATTAAAATGACTGCCACTAAACATTACATAGCCTTCCAAAATATAACAAGGCATTATATGTAACCTTCTTCTGCTCTTTCCTACATTCTGACACTTTGTAAGTTACAGTGGTGTTCCTCTGGCTGAAGTAACTGTTGCCATCTTTGCCCTCTTCTTTTCTTCACTGGTCCTTAATGGCACACTTTCCAAACACTCTACCCATCAACTGGCATGTTGTCAATAAACATCACTGTTCTTCCAGTTTCAACTAACAGTATTTGAGGTTGGGGAAGTTGCAACTTGGGTTGGGGAATTTACAAAATATATCCAGAGATTAGATCAAGCCTTCTCATATAAAAAGCAGGCCATGTCTTTGGAAATAATAAAATCTAAACCACCCATCAGCTCTTAGACTTATGGCACAGAACATGAGTTAAAGGGGACTCACTGTAGTTTAACAGAAAGACCACCAGACTCTGCTAGGGATCAATCAGGCACTGAGGAACTTAGTCTCAGTTCTTTTGCTAATTGTAGTAACTGAGGCAAGTCACTTAACTTGTTTTTCATCTGTAAACAGAGGGCAAGTTCTAGATCAATGTTTCTCAACCAGTGGTGGTGTCGTCCCCCAGGGGACAACTGGCAATGTCTGGAAACATTTTTGGTTGTCACAACATAATCATGTTTTTTATTTTATGATGCCGTGACATCTTGGGGTCTTGCCAATCCTGAAAAGACTGCACCTCCCTGAGCTGGCTAATTCCTAGGGGTAGCTTGCCTTTCATATATGAAAACCAACCAAGCAGAGCCCATACCCCAACCACCTCCTTTATCTCCCACACACCAAACCAGTATTTCCTTGCTCTCAATCACCCAAGGTCAGGTACTGAACAACCAGAGACCACTCCTGTAGCCCAGAGCCCACTGAATTTATTCAAACCACCCAATCCTAAACTTGCTCAAACTCTGCCCACCCTGCCTGCCCCACCCACCATTACTTCCCTTATAAACCACACTAAAGGTTCACGACGATGCCTGGTCGCAGCTCCTTCTGCCTCCTGACCAACCCGGATGCTTCCCCATGTGGGCCTGCATGGCTTGGTGCGGCTCTTGCTGTTGAGAATTGTAGGTAATAAACTCTTTTATTTCTTAAACAAACTATTTAAAATATTTTTAAATTTTTTTATTTTATAAAGCATTTCTTTTTAAAAATTCCTTTTTATTGTTATTCTATTTTAAGTAATAAATTCTTCTTTCAAGGCAGTTGTCTCCGTCTGTCATCTTACCATAAATCTGATTAAAACAAAATCCCAGGCGAACTTTAAAACTGAGGGGGTACGCTATTGACCTGTAGAGGGTGAATAGAGGCCAGGGATGCTTCTAATAAACATCCTACAATGTACTGGACAGCAATCACAATGAGAATTATCCAGTCCCAAACGTCAATAGTGCTAAGGTTGAGAAACCCCAGACTAGACGAGCTCTTTGGTTCTTACCATTCGATTCAAATAGATCTAACAGGCTGAACTGCATTTAGAAGATAATGCTGAGACATGATCAAAACAGCACTGTTATTCTAAGTTTTCCTCCAGATTTATGTGTATTGGAAATTTTTCTTTATAATAACAATTATGGTTAAGGAATTAAATTTATGGTACTTACGCCTTATCCAAGTGCTAAAGTAATGCTGAGAAAAGAATTGTATTCTCAATAAACATTCAAAAACAACCCGGAAAGAAACAGGTGGTAGTAACAAGAACAATTTTATAAAACAAACTACTTCAATTCTAAAAGACACTAAAAATCAATGTCTTGGCATAAAGAAACTTGGTAAAAAAAAAGAAGCCTAGCCCCGGCTGGTGTGGCTCAGTGGACTGAGTGCTGGCCTGCGAACCAAGGGTCGCCAGTTAGACTCCAGTCAGGGCACACGCCTGAGTTGTGGGCCAGGTCCCCAGTAGGGGGCACACGAGAGGCAACCACACGTTGATGCTTCTCTCCCTCTTTCTCTCCCCCCACTCTAAAAATAAATAAATAAAATCTTAAAAAAAAAAAAAAAAAAGCAGCAGCAGCAGCAGCACCAGCCTAGCAACTATTACCTTCAGGTTAAATCTCCTCACTGTCTTGCCCCTCCCCTAGTACATACCAGGGAATAACAATTCAAGGGTCAAGGGTCTCTACCTTAGCCTGTGTAATTTATAAGACAGACAACATCCACTTTGCAAATTAAAACATATATACGTATATTTATGTCTGCTCACATGGACTGCAGTATTGCGAGAGTCCATTTAGATCTAGTCTACCAATGACTAGAAACTTACTCAATTTGGTCAGCATCCTTTGGAAAGGTACCAATTAGATTCAAAGTCACAAAAATCTGTCCAGAGACACTGTGCACTGCAGCCATCTGGTACAGATAAACTCTGAAGAGGCAGAGAAGTTGGCATATATCAAAGAACTAATCACCTGGGGCATTTTACCAAAAACCTTCCTCCCTGCCCAGAGAGAAACTATTTCTTACAGTAGAGAAAATTTCAGATGTCTGAAAATAAGGATGCTGAAGAAAGCGGTCTGGAACAGACATGTCAGTAAAGACACGGAGGCAGAAGCGGGAAACTGGAGAGGAAGCAAAAAGTTCATTTGAATAAAGAGGCGCCAGTGAAAAGTCCTAGAAAAGCTAACTGCTCAGAGGCAGCTACTTAGTTTCAAAGGTTTTGAAAAATTATTTTGTTTTTTCTTCATTAGCCAGCACCTACCTCAGGGTCAAGATCATCCAGAACAGTTTCCAGCTGTTTCAGTTCTGTTTCTGACAGCTTCTCGAGGAGCTCATCTTCATCCAGGTCCTTGTACTTTTCTAAGTCCTTCCGAAATGGTAGTGCCATTGTTTCCAGTGTCACTTAATTATTACTATTCAATAGAGCCAGAAGTGATTTCTCCTTTTTCTTAAATCTATGGCGAGAAGAAACAAAAAAACATTTAAAACATCATCTCTACCCATTTAGAGCTATTATTAGTTTAAATGAAATGTGATTTCCACAGGTCATAAATTCTTTGACCATGTATCATATACCACCCTTTCCTATAGATCATTAAATGCCTTTACCTTTTGTCTTTTGTCAACAACAACAACAACAACAACAAAAAACTGGAAAAAAGAGGGGGAGGAGAGAATAAAATTAAAACCCATTACAATGTCTACTTAATAGAATTTAAATTTTCAGGTAACTGAGTTTTGGGGGAAAGAAGTTATAATTCATGCTAAAATACATTTTTTTCCATCAATGGCTTTCAAATGAATGCTCCCAAGGTACTTTGCTTAAGCACAATATGTTTAAGTACAGTTGTTGTACTAGAAGAGCATTCTTTCTGACTAAATGTTAATATAGGGGGGATAGTAATGCACTCACCATGGGAGAAGCAGCAGCATCTTGTCATTGGGGAAATAGCAAATTTTGAAATGTGCATTAAAAAAAAATTTAAAGGAACTTTTATTTTTTATTTTTAAAATATTTTATTTATTTTTAGAGGGAAGAGAGGGAGATATGGAGAGAGATACATTAATTGGTTGCCCCTTGCAAACCAACTGGGGACCTGGCTCCCAACCCAGGCATGTGCCCTGACTGGGAATTGAATCAGCAACCTTTTGGTTCATAGGCCAGCACTCAATCCACTGAGCCCACCAGCCGGGGCTAAAGAAACTTTTACAGTAAAAAATAAATAAATAAATAAAAATAAAAAATACAGCATTCTGAAACTGTTTGAGTAAAATACGCAAAACCATAAAAACCATGCTGAGCTATGCCATCCACTAATTAGCAAGGCTGATCAGGAGAATCTGGTTATAAAAAAGGATGTTCACCATTTCCTTACTCTGTGGATCTCTCCCAAAGAGCTATGAGGCAACTCAATATGCAACATCTTTCCAGTTACCACAGGGCTGTTCTATAGGAAAGGATACTTTAAAAATAAGTCCCACAAAAAGTGTGAAACAAAAATGAAGTATTTCTATAAGTACTAGTTATGTATGTGGAACACTTGTCTCATAAAATGTCCCTTTTGTAAATAAAAAAACAATCCCTAGAGTTAGTGATTTGGCAAAATTTTTCTTGGCTGCAAAATGCCCAGTACTTCAAAGTTTAAATATATTTTCTTTACCACCCCCTCCCCCAATGTTTTCCCAATTAATATTTTAATTAATATAGTCTCCTCAAACCAGTAACATTTTATGGATCCTTTTGTGTGTTCCCATCTCCTAGGAAAAAAGGAAGGTTCACCACAGGGGGCTGTCAACTAATGACTTATTAGCAACCACTTGAGTCCAGTAAAAAGCAAATTAATGGAATTGTGCTTACGCAAATATTAAATTTCAGGCATTTTTGTAATAATTGCTTGAGACAAGTCTGGTTTATACCTGTTCTACTGGAACCCCATAGGTTTTAGTAGTTATCCTGCATTTTTCCATTTTAAAACATTTATTATTATTGTTGTCATTACTAAGTTTAGTAAAGCTCCACTTTGTACTTCCAACTTTAAGATAGTCAGCTTACTAAGTATCCTGAGAGTGTATTTTCTCAACTAAAAATAATATAGTCTGGGAAGAGGACTTCCTGTCAAGATGGCAACATAGGTAAACACAGCCTGCCTCCTCGTACAACCACAACAAAATTACAACTAAAATATAGAAAAACCATCACTCAGAAATGTCAGAAATCTAGTCAAATGGAAGTCTGACGACTATGGAATTAGAGAGAGAAATCACATCCATACAGACTGGTAGGAGGGGCGGGGACGCAGAATGGGCTGGTCCCACACCCAGGAGTAGTGGATAAAACTTCATTCGGGAGGTGCATCTTGGAAGCGAGGAGTCCCAGCCCCACACAGTCCCACCAGTCCAGGGTACCAGTGCCAGGAAGGTAAGTTCCCATAACTTCAGGCTGCAAAAACTAGCAGGGACTGAGTTAGCAGAAGAAACTTCTGAGTCTCAAGCTGTTCCTCTTAAAGAACCCACACAACAGACTTACTCAGACTCACTCTCTCTGAGCTCCAGCACCTGGGTAGAGGCTTGAAAGGCACTGGTGGCATAGAGGGAGAAAGTGAAGTGTCTGGCATCAAGGCGAGAGCTGGGGGCCAGTTATCTCCCAGATAGAAAGGCGGGAAGATGCCAATGTCCTTTTTCTGAGCCCTTGCCCCAGAGAGCCACAGACCCAGCAGGCGGATATCATAACCCAGCCTCCAGCAACCTGGCTGACACTGCTGGCCCCACCGTGGACAAACGCCATCCCACCTACCTCATGGGACCACCCAAATTGTTAACTGTGATTTTTCCATACGAATGGCTGGTCTTGGCTCATGCTTTACAATTTCCTAAATCTTCTCGAATAAGAAACAGCTGGCCTTAGTGAGTCCCCATACCTCATGCAAAGTGGACCCAGGCATAGCACTAGCAGCAGCCAGCCTATATTCACAATTTGGCTCCTCCTGAAAATCTCCAAGCCCAGACAAGTAGCAGCCATCTCAGATTCCTTTATAGCTCAGGCAGGGTGGCCCTAGGTAGAATATAGGTAGGGACTGACCTTGGCCTGCACCACCTGGGAAACCACAGAGCCTGCACACCCAGTGGACAACTACAGGCCACATCAGAGCACCACCACTCTGCCCCTGCACAGCTGATCCTCTACGGAGTGCGGAGGTTGGTGGCTTAGTTGTCATAGATAATCCTTGCAGCTGATTGGCCTGGGTAAATCCCTCCCACTGACCTGCCAACAGCAACCAAGGTTCAACTACAAGATGAGGGTGCACACAAAGACTACACCCTGAGTACCTAGCTTGGGTGGAAGGGGAGGCTGTGCAACTGGACCCTACAAAGACACCTACCAACACTACTAACACAGGGAGTTACAGCTGCTCCACCTAACACACAGAAACAAACACAGTGAGGCTGCCAAAATAAGGAGACAAAGAAAAACAACCCAAATGAAAGAACAGATCAAAACTCCAGAAAGAGTTAAACAAAAGGGAGATGAGCAATCTATCAGATGCAGAGTTCAAAACACTGGTTATAAGGATGCTCAAGGAACTCAGTGAAGACTTCAACAGTATAAAAAGACCCAAGAAACAAAAGATTCACTAGTTAAAGAACAATTTATAGGGAAACAACAGTAGAGTGGATGAAGCTGAAAATCAAATCAATGATTTGGAACATAAGCAATCAAAAAACAACCAATCAAAACAAGAAGAAGAAATAAGAATCCAAGAAAAGGAAGACAGTGTAAGGAGCCTCTAGGACAACATCAAGCATTTCAACATTCACATCATAGGGGTGCCAGAAGAAGAGAAAGAGCAAGAAATTGGAAGTCTATTAGAAAAAAATAATGAAAGAAAACTTCCCTAATTTGGCAAAAGAAATAGACGTGCAAGTCCAGTAAGCATAGGGAGCCCCAAATAAGATTCATGCAAAGAAGCCCACTCCAAGACACATCATAATTAAAACGCCAAAGGTTACAGATAAGGAGAGAATCTTAAAAGCAGCAAGAGAAGTTAGTTTCCTAAGTGGAGTTCCCATAAAACTGTCGGATTGATTTCTCAAAAGATACTTTGCAGGCTAGAAAGGACTGACAAAAAATAGTCAAAGTCATGAAAAGCAGGGACCTACAGCTAAGACTGCTCTACCCTGCAAAGCTATCATTTAGAATCAAAGGGCAGATAAAGGGCTTCCCAGACAAGAAAAAACTAAAGGAGTTCATCATCACCAAACCATTATTATATAAAATGCTAAAGGGACTTATTTAAGAAAAAGAAGATCAGAACCATGAACAATAAAATGGTAATAAATAGCCCTGGCTGATGTGGCTCCGTGGACTGAGCACCAGCCCATGAAACCAAAAAGTTGCTGGTTTGAGTCCAGTGAGTACAAATGCCTGGGTTGCAGGCCACATCCCCAGTTGGGAGTGTGCGAGAGGCAACCAATCAATGATACTTTCCACACTGATGTTCCTCTCCCTCTCTTTCTCCTTCTCCCGCCCCTTTTTGAAAATAAATAAAATCTTTAAAAAGTTAAAAAATAAAATGGCATTAAGTACATATCTATCAACAACTGAATATAAAAGTCAAACTAAGCAAACCAGAACTAGAGACAGAATCATGCATATGGAGAGCGTTTTGGTGGTTGCCAGATGGAGGGGGGTATGGGCGAAGAGGTGAGGGGATTAAAAAGTACAAACAAAAAGTTACAGAATAGCCACAGGGATGTAAAGTACAGTATAGGAAATGGAGTAGCCAAAGAACTTATAGGCACGACCCATGGACATGAACAATGGTGGAGCGACTGCCTGAGGGAGCTGGGGTGCTGGCTGGAGAGGGGCAAAGGGGGAAAAACTGGGGCAACTATAATAGCATAATCAATGAAATATAATAAAAAAAACCGTCTACAGAGCAGAATCAATGGAAGGTATCAGCACTTTCAAATACCATGAACTGCATACTTAAAGAAGGTGGAGTGCAATTTTATGGGAAAACTTAAAAAATTAGATCACAATGAAAAAAAAATACTCCTTTCACAAAAATACCAATGACATATTTGAGAAAAAGGTAATACACTGATAAAAGTATAAGAATATGTACCAAGAGCAATTTTTATTTACCTGATGCGATTTTTAATGTTTGGATAATCAATATCAACATGTTTTTCATGCAGTTTAATATTATTTCTTGAAGTTTATAGTAGTCAAGTGCCACCAACAATGAACTGAACATCAAAGAGTGCTCCAATAAAATTATACTGGAACTAAAAAATCCCTATCACCTAGTGACATTGTAGCCTTTGCACTGTGTAGCCCAACATATTACTCACGTGTTTCTGGTGATGCTGGTGTAAACAAACCTACACCTATTACACTACCAGCTGTATAAAAGTATAGCACATACAATTACATACAGTGCATAAACATTTG